TTGTTTTAGTTGATGAAGTCTTAGCACTGAGGATGGTTCTGGGCAGAGCAGATGCTATGAAGTTTAAGAACTTGCTCGGTGCGATTAGAGTTATTGATAAAAGTTCTGTAAAAAAGAATCTTTTGTAGAAATTCTACTTATAAGAAGCTCTTGATAGGAGCATTAATTTGGTGCTTCTTGATTTCTTTTATGCTAAAATCTCCAAGTGCAACATTTTAGAGCTTTTGAAAAGCTATTCTTAAAGTGGTATTTGGCCTACAACTTGTGCTTTTAAACTTGAGAAGCTTCTTTTACAAGTTGCACCAAACATGCTAATATCTTCTTTTTCAATCAAACAATCAGGAAGTTATGTGAATAATGAATAGTGACAGAGCTTCCCTTCCAGCATGGCCGATCCAACCTCTAGTTCCTGATATTTAGCTGATGACTGGGAAGCTTTACATACTTTGGTCACCTGTCATATTTGACGGACTAACAGCTTCACACAACCAAACGACCAACCAAACAGACAGTTCTCTCTTCTTTTATTTCATGTGATGTTTATTTTTGACCTTTCACATCAACCGTTAATTGTCAAAAATACTTTTATGTGTTTTGGGGATAAAAATTGCATTGTGTAATTTAAATTATCTTAGACTACATAATTTACTCTACTAATTAAAGTGAACTTTTTAATATTAAAATTTTTTTTGTTTAATTATTCTTATTTTACGTTCAAACAGCAAAACAGTGAAATTCATTTAAGGAATGTACACCCACCCCACACAACTATTTCCTCTTTCGTTTAAAAGCTTTGGGTCATAAGGATCCAAAAAGATTGGATCGTGGTTAATTAATGGGCTGACGACTCATGTTCCAGCCCATGATCCAAAAGGAACATAAGGGTCTGGCTTGGAAACCAAGAATTGGTTTGGTGCTTTGGTTGGATGGACCATAAATTATGGTCAAAGCATACTTTTAATTAGGGTAAATTAGTGAAAGTGTAAAAGAGATTATGAATACCAAATTTTTTTTTCTTTTTTTTTTTAATCAATTTCACCTCATAATGTAAATAAAGGTTAAATGTCAATTTTGGTCTCTTATCTTTAAAATTTTATATAGTTTTTTTGTCCCTCAAATTTTTTATACATTTTTTTGCCCCTTTATTATAAAAAATATATTTTTTTTGATTTTTTGGTCAATTAATCTATTAATTTTATTTTAATATATATTTTTAATTCCTAAACTTATAATATATGCATTTTTAAAATTTTTTAATTTATAATATATGTACATTTTTCATTCCTCAACTTAAAAATTTATAAACTAAAAATATTTATATATAAATAAACTTAACAAACTAATAATAGGAGGACTAAAAATATATATTTTTAATAATTGAGAAACTAAAAAAATACTTTAAAAAGTTAAGGTATGAAAATTTCTGAAGTTAAGGATCAAAATAGACATTTAACCTAAAATAACTAAAAATATCTAAATAACATTTTCTGTTAGCTTGCTAATATAAATTATATTACATATACCCCTTGTACTCAAAAGAAATAATAATAACTATTTTTA